GGTACATGTTGGTAATAAAGTGCAGTATTATTATAACCCAAATAAAAGATGGCCACACTTTAAGTTGTGAAAAATGAAATGATCCTTTCTCTCTGGCTAAAAGCGGTTCATGGTTTATGGTTCATGGTTAAATGCTGAGCTCATTTGACAAACATTATTTGGCCTTAAAACCATCATGCATTTAGTTAAACAGTCAAGATTGAAGTGTTCTGCATTTTGCTGCCACATTGTGGAACAAGAAGTGACAAGTTCCTGTTGTTGTTTACCTGTTGTCTATAGGCGCTGATCTTCATCAGCCCGTAGATCATCATACATCCGATGACCTGAGGAAACATCACATTAGTTCGTTTAAAACGTGGTGAAAACCAAGTCTAAATCATGTAAGAGGACAAAAAATACAGAAAATGAGAAGACAGATTACTAAATAGAATTTATACTTAATCATTTTTAACTTGCCTGCTGGCAAAACTGTGACAAACCCACATAACCAATAGTTCAAATTCTAGCGAGGATCTCAAAGTTTCTGACAATCCCACTGAATTTGGATAAAATGATGCAAAAGACTTGGTAGAATATTTCCATTTGTTGACACGATTCAACTGTAAGAAACGTCTTTAACTGGGCTTGAATATTTCCCTCAGTGTAAATATTCTAAAAAGAGCGGGAACAAGCGAATACACAATCTAAATGAAACTCATTACTTCTGTACCAGTGCATGCTGGGGTATTTATTTTATCTCCATGAGGAGTTTCTGACAGCAGAGGGAGACGGAGCACCAGAAGTCAAATCAACTGAAGTCTGCTGCTGACACTCTCAACCTGGACCAGGGCCCGTATTTATTATTAGTATCATTATTATCTTAAATCCTGAGTGTTGAAGCTACATTAGTTTGCTTTCAGTAGTGGTAATTTCTTAATTAAATTGATTATTATTATGATTTTGTTTATATTAGAAATATATAAGTATAAGTATATATGTATACATATTTTGATAATGTTTTTTTTTTGTTTGTTTAGTTAATTGTTTTATATATGTTTAGTCTTTATTTTTGGTTAGTTTAATAATTTCAATGTTTGATTTAGACACCTGAGGGCAGTAGTGGGCACAGGTGAGGGTAAATATAGGTAGGAAGTAGGAAGTGAGCGGCAGCACCTGGGTGATGGGCACATGGTTTTTTACCAGCGTGAGAGATGCTGTATTGCTTGCTCAGTTGGAACAAATAAACCAGCCACAAATCCTGAATCCAGTTTGAATTTGATTTTATTTCTTGCCTGCGTACATTACCTGCCCAGGGTGCTAGAAGTTGTCGTTTGAAGGTTTGATTTAAGTTTAACTTTATTTTGTTTGTTGACAAACGGCCACTACACTGAGAGTTCATGAAATTTACTCCTACTTTTAAACTTACGAATAAAAGCAAGTTATCAAATTCCTTAATGCTAAGAATCACTCTCACTCTCCCAGTTAACTAAAATGGGACTTTGAGAAGCCTGATAAATACGGGCCCAGATGTATCTATGTATTGTTTCCATTTGTCCACATTATATGCAACATATTATTAATCATAAGTATCTAATCTAAATCTACTCTAATCAAATATACATAATCTAATCTGATATGTTGAAATTCATTATCTAATGTAAGAATTGTATCAAACATAATATTTCTGTTTTAGTTCATTTATAAGAATAAAAAACAATAAAAATAAGCTGGACAGTCGAAACCTCTTTTTTTTCATTAACGCCTGGAGTTAAAAAAAAAAAACCCTGTGTAGCAGAAAGGAAGGAGCCTTTAGGTGAAGCAACCTGAAATATGAACCATGGCTTTCTCTCTCTGTCCGAGTTTCTCTTTTTCTTCCTGCTACAGGAAGTGACCGTTTTCTGAACAATAAAACAATCTGTACCTGCAAGACTGAAACTTGACACTTCACACCTTGTTTGATGTTTTTCACTTTAATTTTAATTGTAATCTAACAGCAGGACCAGTTTTAATGTTGCTTTTGAAATATGTAACTTTTTTAGAGTTCAGACTTTATTTATTATCAAGTATTCATTTTTTTTTCTTTGTTCTTAGTAAATCTGGATCTTTTGTGTTCTTTTGAGCATATTACACTTTTTTACACCATACTATTTTATTTGGGAAATTTCTGAAAATCAGTCAATTAGTCTTTTTTCACCTGGACCATAAAAACCTCTTTGTGAACTTATCAAATTAACAAAAGACAAACTTCTTTCTTGGAGGATTTTTCCTGCCAGTTTTTATCTTTTTTATCTTTTGCTCCAAACACAAATAAACTAATAAAAAATAACTTGTAACTAATATAAGTTTCTACTTACTGCAAACAGCCCATTGAAGGAGATAAAGGGGAATCTGATGCATCCGTTAATTTTTCCCATCTTCAGTTTTCGGTGGCTCTGAGAGATGAAGAAGTGAAGCTGTAACAGTGTGTGATGATGTGCAGCTCTGTGACAAGTAATAAAGTGTCTGCAGAGCGAATGTGAGTGAGGGTGAACGCAGAGCTACGTCACACAGAACTGATCTGCAACATGAACACACAGGACTCAACTGTGATGCAACTCACAAACCTTCATACACAAGCTGCAGCTTGAAGTGCTTCTAATTTAAATAACGGCAGTCGCTAAAGTATCTAAATGAATGATTTTCATCTTTTCTTTCATTTCAAAAGGGTTTTTATCATTTGTCATGAGTCAGAATAAACTGTGTGTGTTCATGGTGATGAAGGAAAATGTGACCCGGTGCAGCAGTGAGGCTCTCTGATGGTTTAATAGTTTCTCCACAGCGATGGAGCTCCGTGGCTCAGAGGAAGAAGAGACATCAGGCTTTCATACGCTGGATTTTCTCTTTTCTGATGAGTTTAGGCAGCTAAAACTACTTTGTTCAGTTTGGGGAAAGGCTGTAGTGTTGGTTAAAAGACATGAGCCCCAGTCTCAGGTCGTCTTTCATCCTCTTGAAGGGGTTCTGCAGTGCTAAAACAACCTTACTCTACTTGTGTCTTTGCCTCTGAGAGAGGACAGTCGCTGTTCACACGGTGAAGTCGGTTTGAGTTTCGATAACTGAAACTTCTTGTTTAGAGAGAGGTACAGCCTGTGGTCGTGGTTAAAAAAACCAATGTACGGTGTTGGTGTACTGAACCTTTGAGTTGACGCGAACATTTAATCTAACAATCAAAAGGAGCAAAGAATACACAGGTGTAGTAAAAATACATCAAGTAGAACAATGAGGAGCAAATGCTGCATCACTATATTTTATTTTCTCTTGAAGGAAAGAGAAATGGTTGAGCTGAATCCTGCAGCATTTTTTATTGGCTGTATCGGTTTATTGGTGAATGTATGAACACTGACTTTTAAATAAACGTATTTCACAGTATGAATGATTGTAAGGAGGCTGCTTCGTACAGCCTGTCTGTAGATGAAGAGATGCTGAGTTTCCCCAAAGGAACAACAAGCTGCATCTTATCTTCTGATGGTTTAAAGGTGCAGAGCAGAGTGAGACCGAACCTTTCCATCGCTTTAATGTCACAGATCTTTAGATGTCATTTACATGGAGTCATGACAGAACGTTAAAACTAGGGTCACATTTTAGATTGTAGCTTGTCCCACAACTGATCTGCACTCAGCCTCCAGACACAGCATGAAAATGAAAATGTTTGTCGTGGTGTCATTAATAATTTTATAAAACGCTCAGAAGACCTTACAGGTTCTCAGAAGTTCAGGATGTGTGAAGCTCCGGTTTGGGGTTGTTATGTCCCTGTACTGTAAAAAGACTTAAAGGTTTCCTAAAGGTAAACAGAAACACAGCCGGTGCTGCTGTGCTGCATAATAGTAGCATGTTTTCTCCTTTTTGCTTTGTGTGTTTTTCACACAGGAAACATTCTAGGAGTGCAGTTAAGAGAAGACTTCTGTGATTAAAAAGGAAGTGTTAAGTTTTCACGGTCCTGATGACGTCTGTACAGTTTTGTCTTTAAGCCTGCTGCAGCTCAGTTCAACCAACACATCCAGAGGCCCAGAGTCATGTTGCAGACACCTGAGAAGATCCCCAGAGATAATTCACAAAGATAATAATGAACAAAAGATAAAGAAAAAATTCTAAATCATTTGTATAGTGCATGGGTTTGGCTCTGTAATTTTGACAAACTAAGTTTTACAAACTAGATTTGTGAATAAAGACCAGTTCTCTTCCCCTCTGACTCGTGCCTGGCATGCTTCCTCATTATTTTTTATTTTCCGTCCTCCATATTACGCCTTACCGCCCCAATCGTGATCATTTTCAAATCAATTCATCAATTCCTTTTACGGCTTCTTTTGCTGTCCTTCCACTCTCTCATTCCCCAGGACACTGATACGTCCAAACCATCGGTTTCATATACTTTTCTCCAATCCAACTGTACCAGAGTAAGTAGACAAGATCCGTTACTGCAAGTCGCCTTTCGCTGGTCCGCTCACATCCAGGCAGTCGTATTCAGGCGAAGCTATCGCCACTCGCATCCACCGAGCCAACTCTCTGACTGTCCCTCCGCTCCAAGGATTTCTGAGTGGATAGTCACCCGCCCCAACCAGCATAACACCCCTTTTCACCACCCTGACAAACAGCGAACAAAACCTTTTAGGATATTTCCTCTTAAATATTTCTACTTTGGCATCTTGTACCATGTTCTTGGATCGTTTCTGTACATCTTTGACGCTCCGCTCAACAGTAGGGTTAACGCTGTTTTTTTCCAAATCAAGCATTTGTTTTTGTCACTACACTCACTGCTAAATTAATGTGTAAAATGTCCTTATAACTTTTATACTGCTTCAACAAACACCTTCTTTCCTCTGGGGTAAGCTGCACTGAGTGGTTGGATGCGCCTACTCAATCTGCCATTTTGTTTGTTTTGAAGAGTGTCGACCCAGAACTCATTGCAGTGTCGTCCTACTTACAGTATTTCACAATTGCTAAAACACTAAACCCCAAGCTCAGTGGCCTAAACCCATTTGTCAAATCAGTCACTGTAGGCAAAACCTTAAACGGGTTCAGGTAGTTAAGACACTGTTTGCAAATCTCATCAACTCTTTTAAACTCTGAACACATTCTCACTCACTAAAACACATTCTGCACTGTGAAAAACATGCGACAAATACAACAGAGACACCTTTTACACACAACAACTCTGCGCACTTGTTTCTTGATCACTTGATGTGATCTAACCAAACTGTGGTCAAGTCCCTGACCAGTGTGGTGGCAATGTCACACTTTGACTTTTTTTTTGCAGTTGCACAACACTTGAGTGTAATGTGCTTTTCAATTAATAGTTTTCTTTGTTCTTTGGGCTTACTGAATTTGAATATACAGATATTCAATACTGTATTACTTGCAGTACTTACTTGTTCTTACTATACTTTTTACCATTTGTACAATTGCTAACAAGCATTTTTCACTAATGAGTTCACTTTTTCAAAACTTTTCACACTGTTCTCAACAGAAGTCTATGTGGACCGAACTGAGACTGACTCTTGCCTTGCTGTAATACAAAATGCATTGATTTACAGTAACACAAAAGACATTTAATGACCACAGCTTTCAAAATTCAAGAATTTTCATCTCACTGAAAGTCATCCACCAGAAAAGCCGTGTGTATCCACAGCCAGTGTTGCAAATTCTTACATAGCCTTTTCAAATTTAACTTCAAAACCTGACAAACATTCAAATGGACAGTGATTTGCCAAATTTCAAGTCCAATGACATACATTCAAAAAGATGGTTGTAGTAGTGAAAATGTATTGTTTGAAATTATGTAAACGACACCATCGACAGGTCATTCCCATCTCAGTTAGAGCCCCACCCTGGTCTTTTCACCTGGTGATCTCCTTACCACCTAGAAAAGGAGACATCTTCTGAACGTTTTGTTACGCCTCCACTTCAAAATGGAGCCTGCAAGAGATGGAGGAGAAAGAGACGGAGAGGAAGAGGATTCTGCATGCGTGGTGGTGAAAGACAACAGCAGAGATGACCAAGAGCTGCAGGTTACCTGGTCAATCACAGACCAGGTAATCAACCAGGGGCCATCATAGAAAGAGACTGGTCTCAGAGAGCAGCCAAATGTGGCCCTTCAGTTCAATTCAAATGAGCTTTATTGGCATGAATGTGTAACAACAATATCGCCAAAGCATCATACAAACTACAAAGAACAATCAACCCCATAAATTTCATTAAACAAGTAATGAAAGCGTAAAGTAATGAAAGCGTATGTGTGTTTGTGTTAAAAAAATAATAATAAATAAATAAAATAAATAAAACAGTAAGACTGTGTGTGTCTGTGTGTGTGTCTGTGTGTGTGTGTCTGTGTGTCTGTGTGTGTGTGTGTAGTAGACAAAAATTCAATAAATAATTAATTGATAAAAAATTATAATAAATTAAAAAAGAAATCAGTATCAAATGTAAAAACAAAACAATTACTACTATCAAACGATCAAAATAATAATAATTTGAAAATCTGTACAATTATTTATCAGTCTGAGGTCGCATCAATTGTCAGAATCTTCCAGTGAACAAAAGGTAAAATATGTATTCTGACTTAATAACTGCATCTTACCAAAATTAAAATCTATTGCTTGTGTGTAATTCTTGTATTTCTTCTTTAGGACCCAACGACTAACCCCCACAGGGGGGATTTCTTTTAGAGTCATGGAGCTGGAAGCCCACCGTGTTTTTAATCTACGTGGCCAAAACACGGCCGTGAGGACAGACCCTAAAGTGGGTGTCCCAGGCCAAAGGGGTGCCAGCTGGTGGTTTTGTAAAATTATTTGATATTGAAACAACTATGCAGTGTTTTGGTAGTTAAAGAGGGTTTTGTGTTTAAAGTTTTGAGAATATGGGTGAATCTATCTGAATACTGACAATCTACTTCTGTCGGCTGTCTTTTCTGTTCAAATATTCATTTTAACATTGTGAGTTCAGTAACAGCGCCTTCTCCTGCCCAGATCTCATGACTCCTGCATCAGGCACCTGAGTTTGAGACTGAGTGAGTGTGTTTGATTTGTTTTTTCCCTTTGGGTGAACGAGGCATGCTTGGTGTGTTTTTGTTCTGTTTTCATCCCCTATCTTCTCTCAGTTTTTGAGTCCCGGGCGTGTCCGGCTTCCTGCGTTGGCACGAGCTGCACCTGCTGGTAATCACACCTGTTCCTGATCAGCCATCCCTACCGCTGAAGCAGAGGCCAGACATCAATTCCTCGCTGGATTAGTTAGTCCTGGCCCATCGCCCATTTAACCTGCTCAGCCTGCCTGCCAGTTCCAAGCCTTACAGCCAGCCCTCACTTTCTTGGAAGGAAACTCCCTGCCACCTCACCCTGCCTTAGTTTGCTCACTCTTCCTCAAACTGTTTAAACTGCTGCATTGTCTCCTGGTCTGCATCTGGTCCTGACATAATTTCTGACACTATACTTTCTTTATACTTTCACATTAAGGACCCCCTAGTTCAATAATGTTTTCATCCCATGAATTTAA